GTGATTGCAAACATCCATCAAACTTCTCAAGAATGAAGTCGCCGGTTCTTACGAGGGACATTTTAGCTGTCTCAGAGAAAATTTAATTACAGCTTTTGTGTCATTTAAACTGTGTTAAACCATTTAGTGACATAAATGAAAAGACTATTTTTGTTCACTATAGTAACTAAAAGTATATTTAAGCATACATAAACAAATATGTACCCTATGTCCTCTGTAATGGGCGAGTCAAGCAGATCAAATCTTTGCACAGACATCACGACACATACAGCAATTATTAACATCTATATGTCATTTAAAAACATTTATTACAAAGAACAATTCTTCTGTTTTTCTTATCAGAACTGTGATGTTACATTATGTTCAGTTTGCATCATCTGTGTGTAAATTAACAGTCATCAAAGTTTGTATACGTTCTGTTGCTTTGGTCCTGAGGCAAACAGGACACATGAAATAGGCTGACAAGTTTCACATGAGCAGTTTGGTTCATCCACACTGTGAACAGTAACTTAAATAAATGACTAAATAAACAGAAGTGAAGCTAGACAAACAGATGATGACCTTTGACTTCTTTGTTTCTCTGATACAGAGACTACTCTTATTGTCTACAGTGCCAATAAGAAGTATTTTTCCCCTTCCCGATTTATGTTTTTTTGCATATTTGTCATACTTACTTATACCTCCGTCCTCCAATGTGGAAAAGTAATTGCCTCCTTTGTGGGTTTTCTTTTTTTTTTTTGGTCCGCAGCGGTTTTCACCTTGGAACCCTCCCATGGATGCTACTTTTGCCCACTCTTTTTCTTACTGTTGAACACTGATCTTAACTGAGGTAAGTGTGGCCTGCAGTTCTTTACATTTTGTTCTTTTGTGGCCTCCTGGAGGAGTTATTGACACACATTTGAAGTAGGTTTTCTCCATTTGTGGATAATGTCTTTCATCATGGTTCACTGGAGTCTTAGAAACAGCATCATGACCCTGTCCGGACTGCCAGATGTCACTGACTTAGTTTCTCATCTAGTCGTGAATTTCTTCAGATCGTAGCATGAAGTGTTGCTTATTCATCATTTAGCCTACTTCACTCAGACAAGTTTTCTTTAAATGCTTTCTTGATTCAACAGGTCTGGTAAAATCTGCATTTTGTATTTACTCCTGTTATTGTGAAATATGTTTTCACAGCACTGTAACTATGACAACACTGACAGTATCTATCAATGAAGAGTTGCTTTTAATAGCTTTAATCAACTTCCTTTCATTATCTTTATTAGCAGCTTTCCCAAATCCCTCCTGTAACCCAACAGAACACTTCAGAATATATTTAACTAGTGTTTAATTCCTGTGAATTGATCATTTAATGCAAGCCACTGACAGTTCCTGACAACTGATCATTTACCGTCCAAGCTTAAATTGAATACATTTCAGAAGCTCGGCTCGATGGAAGTGACTCTAAAGATGAAAATGGACTGCATCTATGGTATTACTATGTTAGATAGGCGAACACGCTTTCTGTGCATCTTGTCAAAAGTAATTCAGCTGAGCTCTAAAGACTACATAGCTTCAGACTCAACATCTTTTGCAGTGTATCAAAGGTCCTGAGAACTATCGTAGGCTGTCCTGCATACTGCAGGGCCAGGGCACACAAAGGGCATTCACACCTTGTTAAGTTTTACAACTTGTGCATTTGTTGGTCCCAGGATCTATTGCCCCTATGACTTGGTGTCTGCCTGAAGTGACCTTCTATGTCAACCTAGGTGATGGAGAAATTTAGGGTCTTCTCTAATCAGTGTGAACACACCTTTGGGTTTATATGGCTTGTTGGAAAACACTCTACAAACTAGGCTTAGTGAGACTGTCCTTCGAGACAAGCCAGTCTATCATGAGTTCAAAACATTCTTGTACATCGAAATGCATAACCTCGATTGGCAAAATGTCAGAAGTAAAAATGAAAATAAAAATAGGATACAATTATCTTCATTTAACTGATAAATTTTTTTTAAAAAATCAGCTCATATCAAATAATATGATAAATGGTTGTGATTTCCAGGACCTCAAGGCACACAGTATGGACAAAAAAACATTCACCAAGATAAAGCCAAGTTACCTGCAGCACATGTTCCACCAGTATTGCTGCTTATCACCTTTTGAAAACAGTGAAGATCCGTGTTGTTCTCAGATGAGATGAGAAGACAGATGTCTCAGACCCTTTTCGATATAAATGTAAACATAGTGCTTGCTTTCTGTTTCTTTCAATCCGTTACTTTCTTACATTTGTTTGTTTTTACAGTGTCACAACATTTTGTGAAAAAGCAATGAATACAATCTTAACATTGCACATTAAATGACCAAACCCCACAGAAATCCTGGTCTACCCGCTAAAGTGTGTGCTGTGATAGAAGCAAAATGATGCTCTCTTAGATATTCCTACTGCGATCTGTTCTCAACTACAGTAACTGCTGCTAAAATTACAGAACAATCCTCTAATCCCAGTTCAACTAACTGGTTATTATTATTAAACATTGGGCACAAATTGTATGAACCCTGAATTTGTGTTTGTGTGTGTAGGAATTCTTTGTCACATTTAGATATTCGTGGTTTTTACAGGCATGTTCCTCGTGTGTTTTCTTCTTGTGCAGCGCTCCAAGGACTTTGTTGTCGTTGTAGCTTGCATGGATTGCTTCACTCTTGCTTTGAGAATTTTTTCGCTTCTTACCTGTGCATGACAGACTGCTGTAAACTGCATGAAGGAATGCCTATTGAGGTGATTAAAGAGCAGAAAGCAGGTGATATTTAAGAGTGGGGGTTTGGGAGGGGATGTGGTATGTGAGGATGGACTTCTTGAAACAGAGGGAAAAGAGGGGTGGAGGGGTGAAATCTCAGCCATGTTAGGAGGTGTAATTCTATAGCTTAGTTCCATCCTTTCACATGCATGGCCTACTGTTATTTGTGTTAGTCATCACTCACAAATACTACAGTCAGGAAGAGTATCCTGGACAATCTGGCCTCTGTGAAAAAGCGAGTGCGTTGAGAAGAGCTGCAGTGAAGGATTCAGAGGCGAGTCTGTTGAGGATCAGGATCTCTACCTTGTTCACCTGAAGGAGAAAAAAGTCAAAGATGAAAAAACCTACTATAATACTGATTTTTTTCATGTTCTCAGACTTTTGAGGGTGGGTAGGGATAAGAGGTAGACTGGAGGCACCTGAAACAGTGTTGTACCCACCTTTTCAATGTGAATGACTTCTCTTGTCAGGACTGAATGTGGGATTAAATCTTTTGAGCATACCCACTTTGCAGAAGCTGGATGTGAAATAAAGGCAGCTATTGTGTGACACTGGCTCTCCCCCAGGGCTCTCACAGCTCCCCATCCTTCCCAGCCTCACCTCACATACTGAACCGGCAATTAGACGGTCAAATCAAAACCCTGGCACTCAGGGCTAATTGTTTCTAACATGCCTTTGTAAAGTGTCATGTTGTTTCCCATTCAAGACAGCTTCCCTGCCTCCTTGTGTGTCAGATAGGGGAGGGCAATGCTCCAGCAGGGAGATAAGCCGCAGGCTTTTTTTAATGCCCCAAAATAGACTTAATTTTTACCCTCCTTTCACGGTTCAGGTGCACTTGAGCATTGAGATGGTCAGAATTTGCAGTGGGTGGGTTAGTCTGATGGATACAGTACCCTGCAGGACATCAATTATTGGTAGCTTCTGGAATGTCTTTAAAAGAGAGCATGTGTGAGGGTCCAGCATTTTTCTTCTATTCTGCAATTTTTTTGAGAGTGAGGGCTAAAACGACTATCAGGACATGAAATGCATTACTTTTGAAAGTGTAGCTGTTAGATTTAATCGTAGAGCAGCTTCATTCACTTTGGCTTTGTTCTTACAGGTGTTGGGGTTTTCTACACTCAAAAGCCGCTGCTATGGCATGTAATGTTAAGCACCATAAAAGGTATTTATTGGAACTGGAAATACATTCAGATTTCTAATGAGAATTTTAGCCACTTGGGGGCAGCAGCCAACACACGCATGTAATACTGTCGCTTTGTTTTAGGATAAAAATGCTTGCAAATATTTTTCTGCTAGTGTCTAGCAGCAGTCAGCAGGCTGAAAACTGAAGCCAACACAGTGATCCAGGAGGTAGAGATGGACCAGTTAGAAGGTCGGTGGTCGACTCAGCCACCTGAGATGACCAATAGGTAGCTCAGGTGGTAGAGCAGGTCACCTACTATCTGGAAGTTTGGTGGTTTGGTCCCAGCCTGCAATGAATGCATGTAAAACAGCATAAGAAAAAGGTGCTTGTTTGAATGAGGCAAGTTTAAAGTGTCATAAAGTGCAATGCAAGAACCAGTCCATCTACCACTCCCCAGTGATTTTAGTCTTGGGCAAGATACCGAACCCCAACTTGTACCCACACACAAAGTATTACTGTGTGCATTGAACAAAAGCAGAGGACTTTGCTTTGACATTACTTGAAAAAACTAATCGGATTACAGTAACGCGTTACTTCCATCTCTGCTGTCTACAAAGCTGGGTTAAAGACAAGAATGTACAATCGTGTTGGTTTTTATTCAGATCAGAGATTCCCAGATTATACAGATCACACTGCCACTGCTGTAGTTCAAAGTTTGTCGAACCTCCCAGCCCCCCACTGCGGCCCTAAGCAGCTGTCTGCTTTACCTGGTAGCAAGCAGCGCTCGACATGGATGAATGGTCGACAAGTGGGCTAGCACAGAGAAGGGAGGGACAGTGGAGTTCACAAGGAAGAGGAGAAGCATAAAAGAAACATCAAAGGTAAAGAAATAAAGATGAAAAGTGCAGATAGCAGCTTCATTGTTTTTCACACTCATTTTTATTTCCACTCTTTGTGTGTTATAACGTTGCTCTTCTCGACAGTTGGCCGAGAAGACCAACAAAAGAACAAGCAAGAGTAGCCCATAGTCATAGTAGACGGACTGTCTGCAGTTCCCGATGGTCTGTCCTCACACTGCAAATGGAGAATGATGCTCAGGCCTTCAGGATGCTGGGCGACTTCCCATGATGCACCAGGAACTTCTCCTTCACTCCCCTCTCTGCCCTGTGTGTGTAAATGTTACTATTACATGTGTGTATTCACTGACACAGATGTGAAAATGTGCTACAAAAATGAAATGAAACTAAATTACACAACGAAACTTCTTTTGACAGCCAGAGAATCGGCTGGCCATTAGACCTCAAACATTTGCACAATGTTTTCACTTTTAAAGAAGCACCACAAGAGAAAAATCTTTTTGATATCATCAGTTGATAATCACGCAAATATTTCACAAAGTAGGAGTGGT